CAAGGTGTGGTCAAGAATAAATGGTTTAGTCAGGCCAGGTTGGGTCATGAATAAATGGTTTAGTCAGGCCAGGTGTGGTCATGAATAAATAGTCGAGTCAGGCCAGGTGGGGTCATGGATTAATGATCGAGTCAGGCCAGGTGGGGTCATGGACTAAAGGTTGAGTCAGGCCAGGTGGGTTTATAAAATAATGATAGAGTTTGGCCAGGAGGGGTCATGAAAAATAGTTGAGTCAGGCCAGGTGGGATCATGAATTAATGGTTGAGTCAGGCCAGGTGAGATCATAAAAAATGGTTGAGTCAGGCCAGGTGTGGTCATGAATAAATGGTTTAGTCAGGCCAGGTGTGGTCATGAATAAATAGTCGAGTCAGGCCAGGTGGGGTCATGGATTAATGATCGAGTCAGGCCAGGTGGGGTCATGGACTAAAGGTTGAGTCAGGCCAGGTGGGTTTATAAAATAATGATAGAGTTTGGCCAGGAGGGGTAATGAAAAATAGTTGAGTCAGGCCAGGTGGGATCATGAATTAATGGTTGAGTCAGGCCAGGTGTGGTCATAAAAATTGGTTGAGTCAGGCCAGGAGGGCTCATGAAAAATGGTTGAGGGCAAAGGGGGATCACCCTATATTAAAACATCACAACATGTGCATTCTTGCTAAAAAATAATAGGCCCCTACGGCTGGCAGCACATTGGCAAAAACCATAAATGTAAATTTAGTACCCCACAGAACATATTGAAGAAGAAAACACCCCCTATTGCGAGCATTCTCAAGTGGAGTAAGATCAACTCAAACAAGCTACTTATGGTTGCTGTGTATGCGACTCGATCCTGTTGTGTCATTCGTTGTTTTATGGGTCAGCCAATTCGGGGCCTAGGGCGATATATGGGAGTGGTTGTTGCAAGAAGGGGCCTACAGTGGGCGCAGCAACCCTGTGAGTTTATTCCTGGGGGCCCAGAAGGTGAAAAACACCGCCCTTTCTCGCTAAGTTTGGAACGCACATGGGGTAGTAACAGCATATAGAATGACCCCCCCCCCCCCCAGGCTTCGAGAAAACACATGGCTTAGATCATTCTATAATGGTCATTTCAGCAAGATTGCCACTAGAGGGCACTATGCATGCAACATTAATGATCCCAGACAAAGTACAGATCGGGTCAATGCTCGATGTATTACAAATGAGCACATTTCTGAGATTGCTTTGAAAATTAAAAAATTAAATTGTAAATCAATAAAACATAACAACCTTTCTAGACATTTGCCTTTGGTTCCATCAGTGACTTCAGCTTTGGAGTCGTTAACACACCAATTGATGCTCAGTGCTTTAGTCTTCTCTGTCTCTCTTGGTGGTTCGAATGCAGTGACACAACCTAACTGAGGATGATGTAACCGGTAATCTTGTGGTAATGACATCTTAATGTCATGGTTACCAGCGTTTAATCGACAACATACTGCCCGGGATAGATGTCCATGATGATACAAAGACCCTGTAATGACAATAGACATGATAATTTTCATGATGTCGACAGCTTTTCTGAAATTTATTTTTATATTTATTTTTGTTTTCTTAAAAAAGTTACTGGAGATGCTAGGAAACATAATAAATCCAATACAACTGTGTATTTTTTGCTATAACAATAATAATGCTATCATAATAAAGAATGATATATAGGTTTTCACTTATTTATCACATCTGTTTAATTCAAGAGTAACGTGCCCGGTAACCCTAAAACTATTTTTATCAAAAATATCAGGGCAAATGTTTTCTAAAAATGAACAGGTTCTGGCCATTATTGGTCCAGTTATAGTCATCTACATTATCATGCTACCTTAGTTAGTATGCAAATTAACTAATTACCGAGTCATATGTACAGATTAATTCAAATAATTACATACACTGTATATACATGTACAGTTAATTAATATGCAAATTAATAAGCACAGATTAATTACAAACTATGTACAAACATTAATTCAGACAAACAGTAAGCATGTAGTAATTTTCATACCAAAAGCTAATCAGGTCAAAGGTTTATCACAAAGATTCTGTGTACCAAAATCCTTTAGATTTAAATCCGATCAATTCAAAGTTGATGAATACTACGTACCAAGTGTAATAGAAGCTAAATAGATAGGCTGTATAAAATGAGTAAGCAGTGCTCCCTGTAGACCCAATAAATTCCATCTTGCTATTTTGTCACTACATGACATTGTACGTAATCTTTCACCACGAATAATGCCATCCCAAGTCTGTACTGAACTCTCAGGATCTATAGGAATCGTACCTTCGCCTAGAACCAAATATACAAAATAGAAATCATTAAATTGTATTCTGTGAGTTTGAAACAATAACATAGAACATATATCTGGAAGGTTCTGAAAATAACAAGTGTCTATTGTGCAAAGTAAGTTCATCAGTCTTTTTGAATCAGAGCTCAAAACAAATGTTAATATGTGTGACATATTCTATGATGTAGTTTGATTGGAATAAGTTAAGGCATGTCAGAGAAACGGTTCTGGAACAGAATTCATTACAACAAAATAGTTGGTTAATTTGAATCCACTTTGAAACACAAGCTAAGAGTTCGGAACGCATGTGTGAAAACAAACATTTCCACAACTTGGCCGTTCTGAATCTGATCTGAAAAGCAAAATGACATTCTACAAGATATGGGACAATAACAACAATGTCCAATGTATCTATCAACTTTGAACAAAATCCATCTCTACAAGATCAAGATATGGTTCTGGAATGGCAGAAATGCCTGATTTTGATAATTTGAAACATGAAATGAAAGGACATGCATATGTTTTCAAAGATGTGTAAGTGAAGTTTGAAAGTGATTGGCTCATAGCAGGCATGTTCAAGATACAAGTGGAGACTCGCAGACAGTTGGACAGACACACTTTTTTTACGTAAATTCAATCATATTATTTCAACGGGAACAAAATTCACTATCCATCTAATAAAAGTGACTGATACAATCTGGCTGACAGTTTTGAAGAAGCAAAAATAGCATTATGACTTACAGTTTTAGAGAAGAAAGATAAGTAATTTGGTTGACAGTTTAGAGAAAAAAAGGGATTAAAACTTTAGGAACATATGAATTAGGTTAAATCTTACCTCCTTCCATTTTAGTTCTTAATAACCCTTGGATGCTTTTTGCAAATGTTGGTTGATGTTTAGCATTACCAGTGA